ATCATCTGCACAAGTGAGAACACTTCTAATGTTTATACTTAAAACAAATGACAGGGGGAAAGGTTTCTAATAAGAGGCTGAGCTGAAGTCCCATTTCTAAGAAAACAGAATGCCTCTAGTGTTTTGTCAGCATTCTTGCTAATGCCACAACCAACAGGATGAAACAGGCACATAGCACACAAGACCCTGTAGCCCAGACTTGCTTCTCTGGAGGATGCTGGTCTGTATTGTTATTCAGGTGCTTTTTCTTTTCCGATATGTACCTGTTTTGGGAATATTTCCCTATTCATGTGATGATGGGCAGAAGAAAGAAAAGACATGAAATTCCCTTGCCTGTGTGTCTCTAAAATGTCACCTCACAGCACGTCCAGACACTAGCCAAGAAATGGCTTAGTCAGGTTCTCTGCCAACTGGCATGAACCTGAAGATTACCGGACCTCTTGGAGGGCAAACTTTTTCCCACACAACAAACCTTACAATTTACCTTGCTGTGGTCCCAATATTAATACTAATTCCTCTTGCAGTATAGGGCAGGGGTCAGCTAACTGTTCCTGCAAAGGGCTGGATATTAAATATTTTAGGCTCTGTTGCTACTCTTCAAATCTGCTTTTGTAGGAGGAAAGCAGCCATAGACAACACATAAATGAATGAGTGTGGCTCTGCTCCCATAAAACTTTATTTACAAATGTACAGACAATATATGAAGGAATAAATATGGTTATTTTTCAATAAAGCTTTATTTACAAACAGAGGTGGTAGGAAGGATTTGGCACAATGCCATTGCTGGCTAACCCGTGATAGAGAGGATGAAAACTTGGAATATTAATAAAATTTCTGCCATTATATAGTTAAAAAGGTAATGTGTAAAATATAGTTGTATCTAACTTTCATACATCAATTTGATTATAGTCTAAATCTGCCCATTGCCTTCAATTATTTCTCTATTAAAAAATAATAAATAGTGTCAACTATGTGCTAAGCATTGTGCCTGAAAAACCAACCTGCTACCAGAAATAATAATAAATAAAAATTGGCGAACAAAGACAAGTGCAGCATCTACCTCATAGAGTATGGTGTCTATGAAAATATAGAGTCACTCATTCTACTAATATTTATTGAAGTCTTATCGTGTGTCACGCAGTCTTCTAGGTATAAAGTATATGTCATCAACAAGATAGACAAGGACGCTGCTCTAAAGGAGTTTGCATTCTTTCTCTTTTTTTTTTTTGAGATTGAGTGTTGCTCTGTAGCCCAGGCTGGAGTGCAGTGGCTCAATCTCAGCTCACTGCAACCTCTGCCTCCTGGGTTCAAGCAAATCTGCCTCAGCCTCCCGAGTAGCTGAAACTGCAGGCGTGCACCACCAAGCCTGGGTAATTTTTTGTATTTTTAGTAAAGATGGGGTTTCACCATGTTAGCCAGGATGGTCTCTATCTCCTAACCTCGTGATCCGCCCACCTCAGCCTGCCAAAGTGCTCGGATTACAGGCATGAGCCACCATGCCCGGCCTGGAGTTTGCATTCTTAGTCAGTAGGGACAGAAAAAAATAATCTGACAAATAAGTAACACAACATTACACAGTAGTAAATACCATGAATAAATAAAACAGTATAATACGGTAGAAAGTCTCTTAGTAAAGTGGGGAAGGTGATAGGGAATGGTGCTCAGAGAAGATCTTCTGAGAAGACTGCTGAGTGAAGACCTGAATGAAGAGAAGTAGCCAACCATGAGAAGACGGGGGAAGAATTTTCTGAGCTGAGTAAACAGCTTGTAAAATCCCTGAGGCAGGAATGAGCCTGTCCGTTGGAGAATAACAAGAAGGCCAATGTCACTTGAGTGCCTGGAATGTCGTTTGAAGGTAGTAAATGAAGGGGCCAGTCAGTGAGAGCTGTGGGGAAGATCATGTAAGACTTCCTGATAAAAAATTCAGATTTTATTCCTATGTAATGAGAAGTTGTAGAAGGATTTTAAGGGAGAAAATGACATTCTTATTCATGTAAATTACATTAAGCCAGTATTTATACATGAGAGGAGTGCTATTAAAAGAAAGCTCGATGTGAAATGGTACAATCATCGGTAAGGAAGGACTGTCATTGCCCATAGAAGCCCACAGAAAAGGACCTACTTGCCATAGCCCTAAAACCTTAGATCTTTCAAAAGGGACGGTTTGGGTAGAAGTTTGCCAAAAGGCTGTTATCGCACTAACTGCCTAGCTTCTGGGCTGAAAAGGGTTTTTTGGATCTTTTGATTCTAAAGTGTAACAAGAAAATCATAATAACTAACTATTTGTTGAAAAGTTAATACAGATTCTGAAGGGCTCTTACTTGGTTTGAAAATCAGGGGTCTGTTCTTCAAATGACATTGATGGGGACATTTCTACAACTCGATTTAAAAGATAATTATTTCTATTAATCTTTCTTAGCAACTGCTACTTTTTCCAATCTCGAGGCATACATTGTACATGTATCTTATCTTCAAATTTAGTGACAAATTATTAAAATCATATTTATTAAATATCTATCCTTTTTTTTTTGAAATGGAGTCTCACTCTGTCGTTCAGGCTGGAATGCAGTGGTGTGATCTCGGCTTACTGCAAACTCCACCTGCTGGTTGCAAGCCATTCTCTTGCCTCAGCCTCCCTAGTAGCTGAGATTACAAGCACGTAACACCAGGCCCAGCTAAGTTTTTGTATTTTTAGTTGAGACTGGTTTCACCATGTTGGCCAGGCTGGTCTCAAACTCCTGACCTCAGGTGATCTGCCCACCTCAGCCTCCCAAAGTGCTAGGATTACAGGTGTGACCCACCATGCCCAGTCAATGTCTATGCATTTCACACATTTAGGAAGTTCCCACAAATGTGAAAATAAAACATAAGAGCATTTTCTCTGACTTAGTGCTGCACAGCCACCGCCGGCCACCAGAACAATGCTACGAAGGTGAAAGTTAATTCTCATGTGCACATATTATACATAAATATATGCCATAGATGTATGCAGTAAATGGCTCCCTATTGTACTGAACAAGAAATACTAAGTTCTTGTGCTTGTAGGAGTACAAAACATTATCGTACAAAGGAATATCTAGCTGACCCTCAAGTAGCCTAGTGCTAACATTTAAGCAAAATTTAGCATCTTAAAGTAGTGACAAGGTCCCTTAATTTGTACTATTTTATAGTTACCACTACACACTGGAGCACTTGACTTTTTAAAAAAAAATTATTATGATAATGATAACAGAGAAATTAATCGAAACGCTTAATGAACATGCTCAGAGTTACAGAGAAGGATAAGAGACATTTACTACCCTTGAGGGACTCACAGCCTAGGTGAGAAAAGAAGCCTAGGAACAAGTAATTAAAACAACAACCACAACAACAACTTAGAAGTACAGTGTTAACATGATACAGTCAATGCACTGCGATGACATTTGAGAACTCAGCCTGGGAAGGTAAGTGGAATGTAGATAGATTTTCTGGGAAAACAGGCAACAGAGCTGACCCTTAAAGAATAATTAAGAAGATGAACTAGAGAGACTAAAGAAGTTTTTGAGATTCTAGATCATTGGTCAAATATAGTTTGAATAATTAATAATCACCTACTCTGGACCCAATATTCTTTTAATTAGCATTAGAACAAAAATAACCGTAGGGTATAGTGTTTGCCTATAGGACAACTTACAATCTATTTAGAAGGTAAGGTGTATACCTCAAACAAAATGCTGATGGTAGACAGTAAATTGCAGATTGCAATAAACAATGCATTCATTTGTTCATTTAAAAAAATTTATTGCATATCTGTTATAAATATGTTATATACTGTTACAGGCACTGAGGATATGACACTGGACAAACACACAAGGTCACTGGCCTCATGGAGGTCACATTCTAATAGTTATTAATAGATGTTAATATATATGTAATTATATGGGTTTAAAAAAATCATCATCAATGTGTTTTAGGTAATAGCATCCCAAATCTTAACTCTGAAGGAAAGAATACAATATACACATAGAGGACATCCTTAATCAAAAAATGTTGTCAATAGAAAAACAGCTAAATAGTCCAGCAAAATCTTTTTTATTTCTTAAAATATTCTGGACGGCAATTCATAACTATATTTTCCATTAATAATCATCAGTTTTAGCTAGTGTAAATTATTTAGAGCAAACAGACTCTTGTTTTCTGTTACGAGGCATTATTGACTCAGTTTAGGTAAACTTTTAACAAAAAAAGACATCATTTGGCAAAAGCAAAACAGATCTTCTAAGGATTCCCCAAAGCCTAGAACATTACACATATTTAAATCTAAATATTTTAAACGTACATCTTTGTGAACTTTTGAGATGTGGGAGACAGAAAACAATAGTTCACAAAGCACAAGATGTGGGCTAAATGTTTCACTGTTGTAGAAAAGTAGGAAGAGATCATAAGAAGACACAGAGGCCAGTTATGTTTATTGTTACTTACCTAAGATCTGGTCACTCTCAGGTATTTACTATGACCTGCGAATAATTCTGAAAAAAGCTAGATTATAGAAGAGATTCAAACCAGAAACACTCAGGTGTTTCACACGATAAAACTATGATGTTGGGCATATTATTCATACCATTCTTCCTGGTCTGAGAAATCAGGATAATGCTAACAACCTACCTCATTTTAACTGACAAGTGATCATGGAAAATTGATCTCTTTGGATTGAATACATCACATCAAGAAAGCAGTGCCATAACAGTTCCAGTGTTTATGGTGACCAATAAATCATTTGCCCCTTTTCATGCCTTGCTTCTCATCCTGTGCCAGTTGTAAGACCAGAAAAGTTGAGGAAGGAGGTTTCCCTTCATGGAAGGGAATGGATTAACATAATTATCATATAGCGTCATTTAGCATTGATAACACATCTATCCTGCATCAAAACCTTTCCTGATAGCAATGCCTTGAGCTGCATAATAATCACTATGCTTTGATTAATTATTTTGCCAAATAAATGGGTGAATTAATTCACTTACATACTCTGATAGCCTCAGTTTCTGCAGGGTATTGCTTCTTCCTATGGCAACTACTTAGAATCAAAATAGAAGTAATACAAATTGTAGTACTGAGCATTCCAAATGGTTACAGTAGAAAGATTACCATTTCAATTATCAGAATAAATATAACACATGAAGTTTAGAACTTGGAGTTAAGAAAACCCCTAGTTAAAGGAAACTTATGAAAGCCTTTAGCAAGTTCTTTACAGAATGCATTTATTTGGTTTCTTGATCCTCCAACCAATCACATTGACAATGACAAAAGATATGCAAATTTAAACTGACAATAGTCAAGCCAAACTGCTCTGGCTCGTACCAATAGGGACGCATTCAGCATATATTCAGCTTGATTTTTACACTTGAAAGGGTCAATGTAACCAAAGAACATTTTCATAGTTATTCTTGGCTATAATCTGAAAGCTATCCCATAATCATTGTCCAAGAACAATGCAAACAAGAATCAAATTTATTTTGCAAAATAAATTAACATATGAAACACGTGCATGATTTAAGCCCAGCAGAATTATGTGTTTACCCTGTCACTGCTGAATAATTACATAGCAACAAGAAATATGCATTACTATGTTTGAAACACTATTTTGATTATACGTTTTAAGCAAACAAAACATTACATTTTTGGTAGAATAGATCATTCAGGACAACTTGGGAATAAATTTTCCTCCTCATTCCCTCAAAGAATCCAGACTAATTTATAATGATTGAATTCTCACTGAAAACTATATGGATGATGTACTGAAGGATAATAACAAGCTATTCAACCAAAATCATTTGTTTACAATGGAAATACATTTTACCAAAGAAAAAAACAAATATCCTATTATAAACTACTACTGTAAGTAGTGCCTAAAAATTTTAGTTACAATTATAAAAAAACAGAAAACTGAGAGCTCTATTTGCTTTTTATTCTTCTGCCTACCTACTGATTGCCTATCACAGTCTTACAGTCTGTAACAGAAAGATTACAATATCAGGTTTGGAAACTGTAGAACTACTAAGTGCCAGTTAATGTGTCAAATAAAATAACAGTGATCTTAGTTCAGTCCCTAGTGGACAAAAGTAGAATAACTATTACTTGGCATGATTCAGCAGGCGGTGACCTAAGTGAGTGTGACCACACAAGAACAAAATAGAGCATTTGTCCTTTCCCTATCTTTTATCTTCTAAAAGGGATTGCCCCGTTAACAGACTAACTTAAAGAAGCCTGATTGCACACCTATCCATATGTAACAAGTGAATCTATTAACAAGGCTCCCAGGGGAGAAGCTTTTCACAAATTGGGACATTGCCTCACTTCTAGTAGCATAGTCAGTTGAATATATTTACTCTTGGCTGCTTATTATTAAACATACAGCAAAGAGAGAATGAACTGCAAAAGTGTGTTCATAATTTAATAGGGACATCTTCAGCAAAAACTTTTAAATGGTTTGTAGATAAATAACAGAATAAACTATTCAATTGATTCCTATAAGTTGAGATTACATTCATACCCAACATTAACATTCATCAAATAACGTGGATACTTAAACTCCCCAGGTACTGTCTCTGCAACTACAATTCCATGAAAAGGGAGGTATTTCAGGACTATAGCAGAGCCTAAATGCTGCGTTCTGCCCACATCTGGCAGGTGCATGTCCTCCTCCACAGCCAGCATGCCTTCATCGTGGGCGAGCAACCCCTTCCTGACACTTAACATGAAAAAGTATCTTTCAAAATTTTTTTCTCAAGGACAGAAGAAAAAAATATTTAACAGAAGTCAGTCCCCTACTATTCTATCACTTGCTGAAATTAACAGTTCCCTTTACTTACATATGCAATTTCTCCAACCAAATTATACCTTATATTTACTCTCACTTCGTGTTAATTTTTCTAAACTTTAAAAATAATGAACACTTTGTGTGATGATTTGCCGTCGCAGCTGCACAAAATTTCCTGGTGCAAAATCAATTTGATCCTATTAATTAGTATTGTCATGATTATTTTTTTTTTCGCCAACTTGCTTAAGAGGTACATGATTTCTTCCTTAAGGTAGGGTTTTGACAGAGAGACTTCTCAAGCTGAACTTTAAAAAAGAGAAACCAGAAATGTCACAAAATTTACTGGGGCTAGACACACAAACGGGGTGCCCCCACACATTGTTAGGCTTGCGCAAGCCCCAAAACCTTGGCTTACCCGGGAAGCCAAACCCAGAGAGCCTTCTTGCATTTGCAAACACTGCCCCCCTGGAGCAAAAGGTAAACACACAAATGCACTCCTAAGGAACTTTAAGTTAGCTGCAGCGCAAGAACGGAAAAAACTCTGTGCTATTAGAAACTGAAAGCAATCACTTACTTTTTGCAGCCACTGAGTATAATTTTCCATCACATGTTCCAGATGTTGAAGTTTCTGGGAAGAGAAATCCGGTTCCACGTGTGGAGTATCTCTCTGCAGAGCATTTGTGCTGTACTGGTCTGTCGTACTCTCACGACAGTTCCCATCGTGTTCTGGAAGAATGAAAGTGTAGGCACATTGCCCATGCTGAATCCGGTAATATTTTCTCCCACTGTTTTCTGGACTTCGGCGCTGGTTGCTGCACCCTACGTGAGTCAGAATGGCAGCGAGGAAAGCAAAGGAAAGGAAAACTGTCATTGTACTGCCAGCACTCTCCTTCCGAGCCTCTCGCAAAACTTGCTCCTTTCTTCTGACCTCTAAACTAGTTCTTTATTTCAGGTAAAACTGCTTGTTTGTTTGACTCTTTCCCCCTCAAAGACAGCGTCTGAAGAAGAATCATAGAAAACGAGTCATTTGTTAGCTTTGTTCTAAAATGTTAAAATTTTTTATTTCACTGTAATGATAGTTTCCTTCGTTAAAACTTGAGATATTTATTGCATAGTAGCTGAGATTTATTGTTTCCTCTCTGTGTGACCGTTCAGCGTGGAGCCTGCCTGAGTCAGCTGCGTGTACATATTCTAGACCCTTTCCTCTACTCTATCTGCTGCAGATCTGCTATTTTCTCCCAGACCTCAGTGAGTTTTATTAAGGTTGCACATCCAAGCCAAGCTGGAAGCAGGCAGCCTTTCACAAGATGACTTGACAGGAATGCATGAGTGTGCCCCTATGCTAAGGATTGCTGATGGCTTAGGGCGGCGGGATCGTCTTACAAATTGGCTAGATGCGCATGACCTCGATCCTGTATGGCCCTCCCGCCCCCTTCCGCAGACAATTGCCTTGAGCCTTTAGCAGATTCATGGCAAATCAATAAATACAGCAGTCCACCTTAATACACTTTTGGTGTGCATGCTGACCTACTAAATTATAGCAAACTAGCACAGTATGTTTTTAAAGTTAATATTTAGTTGAGGGACCCTAAGAAGAAAACTGTTATAACGTCCAGTGAAATTATTTTTGATAGAGGATGATAAACCTGTATCGTTATTAAATCTTTTAAAAAACATGCATTCTTGACTCTGAGGAAAAATGTGTTAAAAAATAATTTTTAGAGATGGTATTCTTTCATTGTATTCACTTAGGCTTTTAGGAGTTGAAGAAAATAATCAGAGGATCAAATTAGCAAGAAAACTAGCATAATTTGTGGCTCAAAGCAATATAGTATGTGCATATTAAAGAGGATTATCTAAGTAACTTTTGGAATAGGGGTCTTAAATAAAACTGGTGTCCTGATCGGAATGCAGAACGCAACCCTTTGTGTTCTATGTATATAAATTGAACAACTTCCCTACAAAAACAATGTGGTTACAATTTAAAACAGTGGCCTGAGAATTATTAATTCCTGTGGTATATCCTAATCCTGTATTTTACAAGAATCTCTTTAGTGGCTACGGCTGTCTTTAACACTGCCATGCAAGTTCCACATAAAACCTCCTGTGGCTTCGCAGACACACCATGTGAGGACAAGCATATATCAGGTGTGCTAACAGCCAGCAATGGGCTATAGAGGAGACATCCCTGTGGTTCTGTGAAGGAAGAAGAAAAATTATCAGAGGGCGATTTCCCAAATGCAGAGTATAAACATTTGAACGAAGGGACCGGTAAATATAAACAGGTGATAATTTTAGAATTTAGGAAACGGCTTTGAGATCTTTACTAGATGCAGAAAACATGAATTATGAGTTGGGATTTTCATCAGGAACTGGGAAGGCTTTTAGGCAACTGCAGTCAGGAAGTGAAAACAGAAGCCACAGCTGTCATATCCCATGTCCTAGAAGAACAGAGAAGTGGGTGAAGGTACATAGTGGTTAGAGATGGGCATTTAGGGAGAAGTTAGAAGAGACATCAAAACAAATTCCAGAATGAATGCAATTTACTTGGGGAAAGAAATTTTGCTGAGATTCATCATTCTTTTCCACACCAAATAACACATTTCTGATTGGACAGATATGGAAGCAAGTTACGCCAAACACAGCAATAAGATCTTCGAACCACTTTTGCAGCCTCTTGAACTTTTGTGTGTCTCCCCATTGAGTCATGCGTCATTCCTGTGCAACAATAATACTGGCATGTATTAAAACCTATTTTCCAGGTGAAGCACTCCTTACACACTGTCTCATTTAATCATTCCAACAAACCTAAGAGCATGGATATTATGTTTAACCCCATTTTTTCAATGGGAAAACGGAGTCACAGGATGGCTAGTGGGATGTAATTCACACAGCTGGCAAGTGATGGCGCCAGCGCGTGAACTCAGGCAAACTGACTCACCATCAGGCCAGCCTGCTTTTGGAAATGGCAGCCTTTTTCATTCCTTTACAAGGAATGAAAGCAATTTCAAAAGCCCTCCAGCTGCATTGACTTATAGTCTTGAAGCAGGATAAGTGACAGTACCTAGAAGAAAAAGGACTGTAAAAACCAGAGTATCTGTCCAAAGTGATTCAGGCCTTTTCCAGCACACAGACACACACACACACACACAAAGTGACAGGTAATCTATGCACAGCCACAAAGATGAAGGGCACAGGCAAAATGCAGGTTGTCTAAGAACACTTTCCAATAGTGCTTGATTTGAAAATTATCCATGGAAAGAAAAGAGTCCAAAACCGACACCTAGGCGTGTTTTGTGAACTAAATACAGCAGAAAATTGGCAGAAGACTAATGGATGAGTAGTAAGGTTTCTATTAAAGTGCTCCTGTGTTTTTAAACAATCATGACTGTTAAAAATCTGTTCCTCCATGTGTGTGTCTGTGTGCGTCTCTGTGTCCTTTTCCATGTGAATTTTCCCAATCAGAATAAATGAAAAGCAGGAATGCACAATTTCCCGAGAGAAAAGTAGACAACTAAGAAAGGGAAGCCTGAAATGCAAATAGAAACGGCAGGGTTGAGGGGACAAAGAGACAGAGAAAAATGTAGAGCTGATTTAGTTCTTTTCCAGAAAAAGAAAATCAACCTCAAACCATAACATTTGAAGTATTAGTGTCATTCTGAAAAAAATGTCTGAAGATGAATTTTAAGCAATTAGAAGACACCGGGACGTACAGAATTGACTCCTGTGTTTTTGGAACTCTGGATTAGGAGGTAGTAGGTACATGTAAGGATCCTGACACACTAAAGATAATATGTTTTTGGGACCACGAATCTAAGCAACAGCAACACTGTTGGTCGTTGCTGATTACTCAGAAGTGGGGCACAATTCAGGGTGCATTAAAATTTAGGGAGGAGGGCCAGGTGCAGCGGCTCACACCTGTAATCCCAGCACTTTGTGAGGGCGAAGTGGGAGGATCGTTAGAGCCTAGGATTTTGAGTACGGCCTGGGCAACATAGGGTGACCCTCCCTGTTTCTATCCAAAATAAAATAATATAAAAATTAGTCAGGTGTGGTGGCACACCCAGAATCTGTTGTCCCAGCTACTCAGGAAGCTGAGGTGGGAGAATTGCTTGAGCCCAGGAGGTTGAGGCCGCAATGAGCCATGATTTCCACTGCACTCCAGCCTGGGTGACAGAGTGAGACACTATCTAAAATAATAATAATGATAATAATAATAATAATTAGGGAATAATAAGAACAAGCCAATTAAAAAAATCGTCTACCACACCCCCATAAACGGTAAAATATTTCTAAAGAATTAAACAATTTTATCCGATTGAATTCTGAGGTAGCTTGAACCCAAAAGCTTTGTATTTTATTAGAGTTCTGGAATAAAGAAGTGTAGCCTTTATGATTCTGATCTCACATCTACAAAGAGTCCTAGTAAATGTCTTAGTCCTTCTGAAATTTCCAATGAGACCGAGAGCCATTCATACCAGAACTTAGTGAGCCTAAATCTGTCTGTGAACTAGTCTTTGATGACTCTTTGGTAAAGCTTTCTTAATTTCTCCAGGTCCAATAAGTGGCTCTCTGTGTTAAATTTCAATAACCTTCTCTTCATGTCTCCAAAACTACACTGCTCACGTTGCTTGCTAATTGTTGCTTTATCTGTTTCTTCCTTTTGCTGTGAGCTGCGAAAGTGATCTCCTCTTTGTCATCATTGATTCCTGAGCATTCACTATGCACTATGTTTAGAGGAATGAAAGAATAAACAAATAAATGAATGAGCTGATTAATGACTCAATTGGTGCAACTTCCTGATTCTCTATCTGGTTACTATATGACTGGCCATATTCATTGCATTTGTTGGGTGAATTTGCCTAGAATCCCTAGGCATGAAGAACTGGGGATAAAGACAAACTTTTTCTAAATAATGAGTTAGACACAAGACAAAGTATAATAATTATTCAAAGCATTATTTAACCCTCAACAAATGATTTCCTCATCTAATGTTTACAGACCCCCATAATTATGCAATGCCATATAATACTATTCCCATTTTGCTGATGAGAAATGTGGAGCCATAGAGGTTAATTGCCCAGGATCTATGATCTCTTAGGAGGCAGAAGAGAAATTTGATCCTCAATCCATCTAACTCTGAGGCTCACATTAATTTCCCACTGAGCTTTATTGTTTATAACAATACTTCAGTATTAAGAAACAGGGAGAAAATATTTCTTAGAATTTAGGGCACAGGAACAACATGGTGACTTCCCCCTTCAGAGGTCCCTTCCCTCTGAAATCCAGGGCTTTCACAGGTTCATGTTATGATCTCCTAAAACAGGGATAATAGTAAGCCAGGATGCAGCAGTATGGTTGTCAGATGTGCTTCCTAACAGCTGATCTGATTAATTGAGTTATACTTTAGAAACATTCTAAATGGTTGTTCCTATGCCATGTCATCTGTTAGACACCTTGATCATCACCCTTGCTTTACAACAAAATCAAAATACATGAAAAGAATAGTATTTATTTCTCAAAACCACCACCAGGCAGAGGTTCAAGGAAGCAC